GAAAGAAGACGTGCGCCGTGTATAATTATATTTAAATTTAGTTATGTCCTCCACCTTTATATCGGCTTTTGTTTTGGCTTTGATATAAGCCGAGATATCAATCTCTGAAGTATCAGGTGCAAGCCGAGAAACAAATATATGTTTCGATGGAGGAATCACCTGTAAGGGTTTTGGAGTCGCAGGTACGAGAACTGCAGCATCAGTCGGTGCCGGTGGTCCGGACTGTGGAATACCCTTTTGGGTGACTCTAATGGGGGTTTCGTTCCCTAGGACCTGTGGCATCACTTGAAGGGATGCCATGGCGGACGTATCGGACAATTGCTCATTATCCCTGAGAAATTCGGACGAATTTTTCTCAGTTTTAGCCCTTGGGGTGGCCAGAGATATAAGCGGCTGCATTAATGTCGGCTGAGCAGGCTGAGGCGGATCCAAACAGCGGATTTCTTACGCTTAGGAGACTCCGTTAGTAGCTGAAGGCTGCTAAACTGAGTGTCAAGCGCACAGAGCTGTTCATTGATTTTACGAAAACCAGTGATCAGCTCTTTAAATCCATTTTTGGTCTGTCTCATGAACGACCTCATTTCGCCTTGGCCATCCGAAACTGAGGCAGTGAATCCGGCACACTTGGCGTGCACGACGTTTTCACATAACCAGCAATGGATGGTAGGCTGGGATGTGGAAATTGTCTTGTTACAAGACTTTATAGCGCAGACAAGTTTAAATTAAATTTTTTTTTTTTGTAATAAAACTAATAAAACAAAAATTAATATATAAAAAGTTTAAGAACACAATACTTTGAACCACTGTGCCAAATAGGAAGCCGAAGCGGGAGCTTTGAATAGCGCAAAAGAAAAATAGAAATAGAGATAAGCCGGGGAAGAAGCAGAGCTGAGCTATGCTTGGAATTGAAATTATTCATTTTATTAATTCGACTCCAAATCAGTTGTCGGCACCCCAATACATTTTAACGCATTAGTGTTAGTAACGAATAGCAGAGAGTAGGCTGTGAGCATGTCGTTTCACACATTTATACTGTGGGTGTGTAGCAGAGCTCTGGCAGAGAAATTTCCTATGCCCTCGGGATAGGGCCGTGCCGATTACTGCTCCAAATATACCACAGCACTCGCGAAGCGATACGGTTTAAGCTTAAGATTCACAATATATGTATGCAATTGATTAAGTGAGTAAACACCGGTTTACCAATATTTATAATAAAACGCAGTGCGCACAAAAAAAAACACGACCGTTCGCTTAAGAGAAAGAGAGGGAAGTTCTTCCGCTAATTTAGATTGCCTCAAACGCCTCAAACGCCTCCAACTCGTAGTAGGTCATCTGTACCAATTAGAGGTTCAGTTTGGTTGCTTCGACCTGTTTCGCAGTGGTTGATTCGTCTGGATAAGCTTTCAGTCGTCTCCAAAGCTCACCTGTTCGCTTCTCAGGCATACTAGTCGTGCTGCCTTAGTTGAGATATCGTCATAAACCTTGATGCGCAGTCTGCGGGGTTCTCCTTTGAGCTTACATGATGCCAACCCTGTCGTGGCATCGTTTCCAGAATTATTGATGTGCGATTTGCGACGAATGCTTTCATCGTCGATGGTGGATATGATACACAAGATAAAAAAATAGTTGAATAACACCATGGATGAAGCCAAATTTTCTTGTGCCGAAGTCCTTCTTTCCTCGTACCAGGCGAATTAGTTCAATCGAGTCCTTCATACTGAGGCCAAAGCTTTTGAAAAATTTGAATTGTACCACAGCTGGCGATAGTAGGCCAAGTGGGTCAAAGATACGTGCAACATTTGACACGATTTGCGTTTTAGTGCAGTTTGGATTTGATGTCAAGTCGGTATTGAACATCAGAATTTTGTCGGTTGTGTTCCAGTAAATTTCGTCGGTTGTGCTCCTACATTTCGTAGCTGGTAGTGCTTTAAAGGCACAGATGAACGTTCTCGCCATATGATTCTTTGGTAGTTTTACCCAAACCCAAACTTGGCATCTTGACAATGTCTGCGAAGAATACATATGTATCTATACATTCTAAAGCGAAGGCAAAAAGGTTGATCAGGAAGCTCGGCGCAACTTCCAGTGCACTCCTTTGGCTTCCTTAAGGATGTAGTCTCATGTGTGAGGTTGAAAAAATCGATTTTTTTTTTTTTTAACATGTTTCAAAAGTACTGTTTATTAAGAATGTACTGTTAAAGTTTCAAATAAAAATATTAAATAATGACTGTCGGGTCAGGCAGCAGCGATGTAATTTTAATGTTTTAATATGTTAACGTAATGTTTGGTAATGTTTATTTATTAGGCTTAAGTTTATACAAAAGCTTAGTTGATCGCAAGCCGACTCTCTCTCGGCCGCTCGATTCAACGGGCTTTCTATAGAGAGTTTTAGCTCGCAGTGTCTAGGTCGGGACGCCCTCTCCATTATTCGAGAGCTTTAGCTTCGCAGCGACCAGTCGGGCCGCCCTCTCTGTATTTACTTTAGTCTCTGCATGCACCATAAGCTGGTCTATCAGATGATCATCCGGCTTCATCTGTAGGCAGAAATAAACATTTTTTATAATGTTCATACTAAATTTAAATTCGTCTTTTATATACGTTATTGAAAATTATCAATGACCAAACAATGACAGAGATACAGCCCATAATCGAGAGCGCACCTACACCGAAAAGTATGAGTTTCTCGGTAGCTTTAAACGCGTTTTTCTCAAAACGACATTTTTGTGTGCGGCGCAGGTGATTCACAAAATTCTATGGTACCGATCTAGCTGAAATTTGGACATGTTCTTCTAAAAAGTAACACCTCTGTCCCGCACTAGAATCATTTATTTTTAATGATTAGTTTTTTTTATCATTAATTTAAGATACATTTTTTTAAATTTTTTGTTTTGTGAGTTCGCCATTTTTTTGTTTATTGATGAAAATATTTCATTCTAGTACGGGACAGAGCCATAAGCTTACAAAATAATAATCTATTGTAATTTTTTGTTTCGGATGACTCTAGCAGTCGAAATCATCTGCGCCAGGGACCTACCTTTTTTTTTATATGCCTACTTTGGCATGCTATAAAGTGTATTAAAGTACACAGAATAAATTAAACAAAATATTTTCAAATAGTTTATGATGCCTATTAAAACATATTTGAAAATTGAAAAAATCGCATTATTTTTTAATCCAAAAAAAATTTTTTAAAATAATAAGTAGGCCGGAACATGAGAGTACATCCCTAAATGACCCGTCGGATGGTCGTGGTATGTGTGTTACCAATGCACTATGGGCGATTAGTTGATTTTGGCGGCATAAAGTCCACACATAGAGCTAGGAGCTTAATTTTTTTTTAAGGGTTACTAATATTTTAGTTTTTTTTCGGATTTTTTTTTTTTGTCAATTTAACCACGCCTTTATTTTCCGCCCCTTTATAGCCCCGGCACTTGTACAAAAATTGAAATTTTTATTATAAAGCAAAGCATAAAAATAGAAAAAATAATATTTTACCATGTTTTAAAAATATTCTAAACTTAAAAACACAAAAAGTTAATAATCTTCTTCATCTAAAACAAAAGAATTTGTCATGTTTGTCATCGCTTTCGTTGTCTGATTCGGTGTCTTCATCATTAAAAAAATTGTATGAACTCAGCTCTGATGTTGGATGTTCAAGTGCATTTTTTTTAAAGGAACAAAAAAGAGCAAAAAACATGATTACTACAATAAACTAGACACTTTCGTTAGTAACTTGCCATTTTGATGCATGTTTTGATATGCACTTTTCAAGAAATACTCAACGGAACACAATTAAAATTGTTAGATTTTTGCTAAAAATACAATCAACAATAACACTGGACATTAATTACACCACAAACATTTATACACATTTATCGTAAATAAAATATTCTAAATACCTTGAGCTTTGCTATCCATATTAAACTTATTAATTTAAACGAAACCAATAATAATTTAAGCACTTTAACAGCATGAAATTTTTCGTGTCAATTTATATAATTGCGAGCTTCAACAGATCATCTGGTTTTGAAGGGCTGCCACAAAAAGAGAGTAGCCGATAAAAAAAAATTGTTTTTTAGCTAACTGAATTGTTTACTATTAATAAAAAAAAAACATTTCCTTAATATTTCACCATAAATTTTATGACTTTATGCCGCCCATTATGAAAAATCGCCCATAGTGCAATGTAGTGTGAGAAACGTCTTGATTACGCTGATCCTCTCTTCCAGTCGGTACGTACTGTACTGCAAAGTGTTCGTAGCTGCTGCAAAGCCCACCGCGGATGGAGCAGGTTGTACATGTAGTAGTATATGGTGTCGTCCGTGGCTAATTCTACAGCTGAATTTGGCATACCGATTTCTCCTTTGCCATCGATCGCTGTTGCTCATCACTCAATCTCAGGAATTCCAATGGCAGAGCCTGCCAGGTTGTGCCCGTTCATACTGCCTCATCAGCCAACAGTGACTTCAAATAGTGAAACTTCTGCGCGTTTGATAGATGTCACTTTTTATTAATTGTACTGTTATATACTTGCTTGTTAGGTACTTGCTGCATCGGAAACAGCTATACGATTTGCCCTCAAGTAGCTTTCTTAGTATTCTGCGTTGTCGTCGGTTGTCGGCGCCATGCAAAACCGAATCTTTTTTAACAACATGAATATTAGCAGCATTGAAACCAGCAACATTGAAACCTTTTGTACCAATTCCAATAAATAGTTGACCTATGTGATCTGGTTTCCCACTTTACTAAGTAAACAGTTGATTTGATTAAGTACATGTTTATGACACTAGACTTTAATGTGCCACTTGATTCCAAATTTTAATAGATTATTGAGGTAAGTAATATATTTTGCATAATTGGTTAGTATCTAAACAAGTTTGATTTTAAATTTGACCCGCCATAAAAATATTTATAAAATTATTTTTATATTGTTGAAAGTATGCTTTTTAATTATAATAATATGTATATAATTTTCAATAACATATAATTAATGTTAGAATACAATTATTTTTGACCAAATTTAAAACATTTTATTTATTTTCTTTTTTCATTCATTGCTAGTATCTGAAATACTTGACACAAAATACAATTTTACTATTTTTGGACAACCTAACTAAAACCAACTTCCGGTCCCCAATTTTGAGCTAAGTCCACCGATGCCTTTGCCCAATAAATTTCCAACTCGACCAGCTACTACATTAGTTACAGCAGCGGCTTGCGCGGCGGCCACTTTAGATTTTGGTAAGGCTTTGGTTGTAGTAGACTCATCTCCATTATCTTCTTCGTCTGCTTCTCGAAAGTCATCGCATGCACTAAGTAAAATGAGAATGTATATCCTATGCTTCAACTTTAATTTGAAAAAACTTACTCGTCGCCTTCATTAACATCCGGCATTGTTAATGCACATGTTGCTTCCTCAGTTGTCATCCGAAGGGCGACTGACTGATATGCTTTTGAATTTAATTTATCTTCTAAGACTCCTTGTAATTCAAAGTCGGAATATATTTTCTAAATAAAAAAGAATAATTATAATTACTCATATAATAGTAATGGTAATGTAAAAAATACCGAAAAGCTAAAAGGATATATATCTCTAACATCGGATATAAGTGGCCGATCATTATGAAAATTTCATTTTTTCCTGAGAAGGCAATTGCGACATCATCCGCGTAAGCGATAACTTTGCAACCACCCCCTTCTAGGGATCGCAGTAGGCTATTAACCGCCACGTTCCAGAGTAGGGGTAAGAGTAGGGGGGAAGGCCTCCCTGCGGGGTGCCTCTTCTGAGTTTCAAAACTATACTTGTATAATACCCGGTACTCATCTCTTCCACCCACAATTTAACTAACTTTTTAGGTTTAAAATTTAACCGCATGGATTCTCCAAACCTAATTTTGTTTGCCTACTTTTACGCTTAGGCACAAAAACAACAAAAAGCCTACTGCATGGGCAACAGCTTGAACTGCATGGGCACAGACTTTCAATATACCCTTAGGGGCCGTCCATATATTGCGTGACGCGCCTGGGGGGGGAGGGGGTCCGGGTTAACGTCACGGTTTGTGGTCACGGGGGTCTAACCTAACCTCTAACCATGGTTTGTCACGCAGGGGGGGTGGGGGTCAAAAAAGTCTGAAATTCGCGTCACGCAATATATGTATGGACGGCCCCTTATGCATTACGCTTCAATATCTGAATCGATATAGCCATGTCCGTCTATCTGTATGAACGCGTGGATCTCAGAGATTGTCAAAGATAGGGCTTTACGATTTGGAACGGAGACTTCTACAATGCCCTCGCAGTTTATGTTTGTTTCAAAATTTTGCCTTCATTAAGGGGTTATATACCTTCTTTGTCGAAGAAAATGAGCAAAGTTCGGATTTTTTTTTAGGTATGTAGCAATTATTTAATTACACTGATGTTTTAATTTTTTGATAGTACACTTTATTAACAATGTTTGTGCAAAATTTGGTGGAAAAATATTAAATAGTTTTTAAGGGGTGGCTGTTTCCCTTAGAGGCCTTTTTTTTTTCGAGCCTTGCGGTGACAGTTCCCCAGGTCAAACAGGTCAACTTAAACCATAAAAGTAAAAATATTTCATTAGTTTAGAGTAATCTCTTGTGCTTGAACGATCGATTTTAAAATTTTTTGTTTTTGTTTGGATATGGCAGCGTTTTATGCTAAAAATAAAAGTTTTGGTCTCTAGAAATTTCACTAAAAAATTTATTTCGCCGAAAAAAAAGTTTGCGCGTGAAAAGTCGATCGTTCAAGCACAAGAATTTCATTACGAACATTTTAAAAAAAATTTGAAGTAAATCGGTTCAGTAGTTTTCCGCCAATCCATGTCACCGCAAAGTCATTTTTCAAGAAACACCATTTCGAGATATTCGCGTTTAAAGTTTCAAGTTCAGTTCAAGGCCGCAACGAGGCGTGCGATTAGGAGCGCTGTAACTTTTTTTCTACTGCTCCAATCTCCATGAAAATATGGGAGAATGTTCTCAAGGAGTTGTTCTTCAAGATAAACCACTAAAAAAATTTTCGTTTTTTTGAAAATAAAAAAGGTATATAACCCCTTAAGCGGTTGGAATTTGGACACGCCGATTCCCACCCACGAAACAGAAATCTGATGTAAACCAAACTAATCACCTACACATTAAAAAGCAGCCAAATCGGATAATTTTTCCTATCTTCTATCTTTAGGATAATTTTTTTATTTATTGACTTTTTAGCCCTTTCTTACTGAATCGGTAGTATGACCGTAGGTTTGTTGTTTGGGCCAAGCGCAAAAGTATGCAAAAAAAAATTGTAATGGAGAATCCATATTGTTTATGATAAACATTTAATGGTTAATTAAACTGTGGAAGGAAAAGATGAGTATCGGGCATAGTCGAAAAACAAGACTATAGCCGTCCTTTCTTGTTTTGTATTAAAACTAACAAAAAAAAAAAGGAAAAAAATTATAATTGTAAAGTAAATTGTATTAAAAATAAACAAGAAAGGAAAGCTAACTTCGGGCGGAGCCGAAGTTTATATACCCTTGCAGTTTAAACCGGATATATATCGCAAACATCGGATATAGTTGGCCGATCCTTATGGAAATATGAATATATAATCCAATTTATTACAATACAAAATCTAAAATAAGTCTCAAGCTTCTATCTTCAAAAATACGAAAGTTGATATTTCTACCAAATACCATTTCCGATCGTTCAGTTATATGGCAGCTATGGGATATAGTTTTTCTTGTTTTTTTAAATTTAGGTAATAAATTATTTGCAGAATAATCGAATATCAACATTAGACTGGCCAGGCAGTAGTCCTGATTTCTATCCGATTCAATATTGTTGTCCTATTTTAAAAGTTAAAATACATAAAAATAAAACCAAAAAAATAAGAGAATTTAATTTAACAGTGGAAAGTGTCTGTTATAAAGACATAATTAAGAAAACTAACGAACACTTGGTAGATTTTATGCCATCAAGAATAAAGGCCGTATTAAAAACTCAAGGAAGACCAACTAAATTATAAAGAACAAAAACAAAATTATTTTTTAATACTTTAAAAACTAAGCTATTAAGAAATAACTTTCAACAAGAAAGCAAAGCTAACTTCGGGCGGAGCCGAAGTTTATATACCCTTGCAGTTAAAACCGGATATATATCGTAAACATCGGATATAGTTGGTCGATCCTTATGATTACATCATAATAAAACTAATTAACTAAAATAAAAAATCTAAAAAAAGTCCCAAACTTCTATCTTCAAAAATACGAAAGTTGATATTTCTACCAAGTACCATTTCCGATTGTTCAGTTATATGGCAGCTATAGGATATAGTCGGCCGATCCTAATGAAATTTGATAGGTTGGATCAACTGGCCAAAAATAGAATCTGTATTAAGTTTCAGCTTTTTATCTTCAAAAACACGAAAGTTGGGTCATTTCCGATCGTTCAGTTATATGTCAGCTATAGGATATAGTCGGCCGATCCTTACGAAATTTGGCATGTCGTATTATTTTGCCAAAAATAGCGCTCGTGTAAAATTTGAACTCTCTAACTCTAAAAACCCCGAAGTTATACCATTTCCGATCAATCAGTTATATGGCAGCTATAGGATATAGTCGGCCGATCCAAACCGTTCCGACTTATATACTGCGTGCAAAGGAAAGAAGGGTGTGTGCAAAGTTTCAAGACGATAGCATCAAAACTGAGAGACTAGTTCGCGTAGAAACGGACAGACAGACGGACAGACGGACATGCTCATATCAACTCAGGAGGTGATCCTGATCAAGAATATATATACTTTATAGGGTCGGAGATGTCTCCTTCACTGCGTTTCACACTTTTGGACAAAATTATAATACCCTCTGCAAGGGTATAAAAATGTTTGTTACCTTGGAAAATTAAAAAAAAATTTTTTTTTGCCTACATTTTTTGTTAATTCCATCGAATATTGAAGTATACGTTTTATTTCCAAATAGAACAAAATGACATTTAAAATAACACGTTTTGAATTACCATTTATGTATATTAATTTAATCGATTTAAAACAAATTTACTCCATAAAGTAAACGCTTCCTGAAAAAAAAAAAGTACTATTGTCTACCTGTCCACCACAAGGAGGCTGAAACGGACCCACCCACGTGACCTCTGCCACTCGGGCGAACGGGACTGAGCTGCAGTTGTAAAACCAACAAGGCTCACTAAAGGGCCCGACAATAAATAACTTGAGTTCTATCGCTAAGGTTTACTGTTAAAATTAGTTTCCTAGGATAAGCAAACATTGTACTACTCAATATTTCATTAAGTTAAGGTCCCATTATAAAATTTAATTATTGTCCATAACTCCGGACCAGGGTTTGCATTTACTACTCCGTAGCAGCAAGATGCACAGAAATATTGCTTTGCTCTTGCTACAGCTGTCACTTTTTTCCAGAGCGGGAGCAGAGCCGTAGCAGAAAAATGAAAATTGACTGCTCTGTTCTGCTCCGAGCTACGAAAAGTTCAAAGCTATTGCTATAGCAACAGCAGAAAAAAATATTTTGTGCTCCTCGTAGCCGTAGCCAAAAATCTAGAGCGAGAGCAGAGCAGAGTCAAAAATATTATTTCATGTGCTACTGCTCTAGCTTATTTTTGTTTTTGTTTTTTTCTCCCCTGATTTTTATGCACCGTCACTGTGTGACCACTTTCTTTACCTCGTTTCTACTTTACCCACTTTCTTTACCCTTGTAAGAATGATACTTAGGTAATAATAAACAAACAGAAACAGAAACAACAAATAAATATTAATAACCCCTAATTAAATAAAAATTTAAAAATTATGCTATTCAGTCATGTATTTAATTTTCTATTTAAAAATTGATTTAGTAAATAATTAATCGTCGTCTTCAAATAAACTCAAGTTGTCGATCGCATTATCTAAGTGTGTTGAGTTTAGGCGAACAAGGAGTATATTTTCTAATGTGTCGTGGCTTAAACGATTTCTGTTGTCCGACAGCGCCAGTTTTAATAAAGAAAATGCCCGCTCTATTGTTACCTATAAATGTTTGGAAATTAAAATTTTGTTTCGAATTAAGTAATAGTTTCAAGGAGGCTGAAACGGACCCACCCACGTGACCTCTGCCACTCGGGCGAACGGGACTGAGCTGCAGTTGTAAAACCAACAAGGCTCACTAAAGGGCCCGACAATAAATAACTTGAGTTCTATCGCTAAGGTTTACTGTTAAAATTAGTTTCCTAGGATAAGCAAACATTGTACTACTCAATATTTCATTAAGTTAAGGTCCCATTATAAAATTTAATTATTGTCCATAACTCCGGACCAGGGTTTGCATTTACTACTCCGTAGCAGCAAGATGCACAGAAATATTGCTTTGCTCTTGCTACAGCTGTCACTTTTTTCCAGAGCGGGAGCAGAGCCGTAGCAGAAAAATGAAAATTGACTGCTCTGCTCTGCTCCGAGCTACGAAAAGTTCAAAGCTATTGCTATAGCAACAGCAGAAAAAAATATTT